AAAACCTTGTGAATCAGCTGCCATTCCTTTATACTGTTTTATACAATTTTTTTTTTTTTGTAAATCCAATTAATGTGGAAAATATCTCTTTCCAGTTGGCATTTGTATGTCAAGTCAGACCAGCAAAAGCCTCTTTTTCAAACAATGCTGGATGGAACACTTCACAGGATACCAAGGCATTTCAAAAAGAAAATGTTTTACAGTGTTATCATCTGCTCCTAACATCTAGGAAGTGAGAATTTGTGAAAGTGGCAAATATGAGTGAAGCCATGGGTTGATTGTGGCATGTAGGACTACTTTTAAAATTTTGATGGAAATCGCGCCCAAACTGGTGATAGCAAGGTGTGTCTACACAGACACCAGATGTTGGTGCTTTCAGTCTAGCTCTCCGTGGTCACAGTGCCACTAAATCAGTGGGCTGGATGCCAGCAGGCTGAAAACACTCAGTGAAAAATAAGGATGAGGAGATACGGGGTCAGGTTGGATTTTCCATGTGTATTCATATACAGTCATTATTTAACGTTATTTAAGGCAAATCACTGACAGTTCCTGCTTTGATACTACCTGTGATTACAGCCTGATGGAGCAACAGAGGACTTCAGGTGTAGGAGATGAGTAAGCCAGGAATTTTCTGAAGCATCGAGTGAAATATTCTTCCCTTTATAAAACGCGGTCAGTTCATTACAGTGCAAACGAGTTTGAACATTGCAGCTTGCAGGAAAGAATTCCCTCAACTTCCCAAGCCTCACAGCTGTGCTTTGGTCATGGAATTCTAGTTCAGCTATGTTCTCAGCACGAGCCAAGCAAAGGACTAAAGTTCACTACCTCCTATTCACATGACTCAGCTGCTCTGGAGCTTCTCATGATCTTTATGGTGCTTCCTCGTGAAATCATTGCAAAGGTACCTAAATATCTCTACAATTGACCTTGAGTGGTACAGACATCTAAGCCTCTTAAAGTTTTGCTGTTTAAACTTCCGGTACTTTGTAGGAAATATCTATTCTCAGGATCTTTGGCCTTACTGTACTTTCAGTTAAGAACCTTAGTATAGTTAGGAGTGGTTAGATGTCCTAGTAGATGCCTTTCCACACACTTTGTATGTCTAAATATCTTTGTAAACTTGTCTTTGAGCTAGTTTGGAAAGGAGAACTCGGTGCAAAAACCAGCATGCCAGAAATTTTTATTTTCTTTCCAACTGCTTCAACGTTGGCATTGCTCTGACAAGGGTTTAAAAAAAGCAGTTTGAGCATTGGGATGCAAATTAACACACCAAGCAATTAAAGTCAATTAAAACAGGATGCAGTGTAATTAGAAACAGTTGTGTTCACATTGATATTCAGAGATGTGTTGAGAGAAAAAGAGAACAATTCAGGAAACTTTTAATGGCTACAGATGTGATGATGATACTAATAATGGCACTGATTTTGAAAACGCCCCGTCCTCCCTTACCTCGTGAGCTCTTGGAATGCATGAGAAAATGAGAACTGATGCAATGGAATTACTGGGAGACTCCAACACCACCTGCAAGTGGTGCCTTCTCTTCCCTCTGAACTCAGGGCTCTTACCTGTGCCAGTGCAAGAGAAGCTGCCGTTCTGCAGCCTCATTAATTGTGTAAACATCAACACCATTAGATTGTCAGCAGTGTCAGCTGGCTGGGGAAGGGTGTGTCTCTCCCACACCTACTTCCTTGGTATCTCTTTCATTGCTGTTCTGGATATCTGCATCGGTATTAGAAATGCTAAGCCAGTTGAGCTGTGTTTATCTCCCCTTTCTGCATGGCAACCACAAAGGAAAGGGAGAGTCCTCATTGCTTTAAAGCTGAGGCAGAGCCACCCTGATGACAAAAAAATGTATATACTAGGGGTTGTGGTTGTAGCCCTTACAATTTTAATAGGTGTGGGTGGGCTGGGGAAGCCATTTGGAAAAGCAAACAGAGGTGTTTGACACTGCAAGCCTGAATTACAAGCCTGGGATTCCAAAGGTCCCTTCATGAGACATCTCTTGGGTGCAGAGGTGAGTGGTTTGGGCTCTTCCCTGATCCAGCTGAGTGAGGAAATACACCCTAAGGAAGCTGGGTAGAAATGTGCCCCTGCAAGATTGCATTCTGGTCTGGTGAAATGTTTCATGGCAGTGGTGGGACGTGCAAGGCAGCAGCAGAGGTGCTGCACACCAGGGTGGGGAACGAAGCACCATGCAGGGAAATGTTTTTACAGCTGTTCAGGTGCAATACCTCTGGTGTCATCAAATGGATGTGTCTGCTGGCTACCCTCTATGAAAAGCAACTACTGATTTAAAACAAGTAGAAAAAAAAATAGCTGGCAAAGGGCTAAAGAGAGAAACATGAAAACCATTCCTGGCTACATCTTCCTTTCCACCCAGTATAAGACTCAGAGATGTCCATTCTGTGTATTTCTTTTCTAGTTCTCATTACCTGATGATCCATTTTTATTTGAAACTTAAATGTGTGGAAACAAGTTCTATTTGAACTCAGCCAGGCAGATCAGTTTGCCTTTCCTGATTGGCAGTCAGGATAATAATGTAAGCAGTGGGATAAAGCTTTCCATCTGGCATTGTGTTGACTTAGGAATTCATCAGTTCAGGTGCCTGAGACCTATGGGATTATAATAATATGGGATTATAAATGGGTGGTCTCCACTTCCTGGGAAAATCATGGTTTGTGTTTTCAGAAGGGATAAGGCACCTGAAAGAGAAGTAGATGCTTAAAGCCAGTGAGAGCGAAGTGTCTAAATACCTCTTCTGATTTTAAGTTCCTCCATTTCTGAGTGTACCTGCCCAAAGGATCATTTCGTGTTCGGGGTTAAATACTCAGCATGGTCTGAAAATCAAATTTCAGCTCATTAGCTACGAAAATGTGTTTAAGAACTCTTTCAGCTCTGATGTATGGCTTTCATTCACATAGGCATGAGCCTTTTGAATTTAAAGTGCATATTTTTCGGGGCCATACAGGTGGTATTTTTCACCAAATGATTTTTCCCATTCTTGTAGCTTGTTAAGTAATTTTGGCTTGTGGAAGGCAGATGTGTAAGAGTATCATCTCACATTACAATAGTGACACCTACTCTGCCATAAAGAATTGAGGAGATTTAATTTTAAGGTAGTTATTGTTTAGAGAAATATTGATAGTGACATGGAATTTATCATTTAATCCACCCCTGACTTTGAATAGCCATGTACTCCTCTCAGGTTTTTTGACTGTAAAGTGGGACTAGGTTTGCCCAATTTTTCCTTGGGAAAACAGGACTTCTAGCAGCTTTCCAGAACAACTCAGTCATTCCTCATGTAGAGAATAAACTGACTTCTGAAAAGAAAAAAAACAAGAGCCATATATGTGAAAAGAGAAAGTGCTAGGCTTGAGCATCTCAGGAATTTTGCCTGAAGGTGCTTTGTGTGATAAGGTTTCCCTTAGCAAATCCCCAGGAGAGATACACAGCACTGGTCCTTTAGGCTTCCTGAAATATTTATTCCTCAAGCACAGACATGCAGGCAAAGCAGCCTTATGAGATGACAGTTTAGTGATTACCATATATTGTTCTATAATGCATATAATTAATTAACTGCTCCTATGAGTCCATTTCCCTGCACCTGTGTTTGGAATAGTATGTGGGTTAGTAATAGCAGAGTGTGTGATCACCTGTCACCCAGGGAGAGCAAATAATATACTTACAGAGAGCTTCCCAATCTCTCTCTAAAAAATAAAAGTATTGATCTTTCCCACAAGGCATAAAGAATTCAGAAGGGAATATGTTGGAGGACAAAACTGCCCGAACAAAAGCATCAAATGCACTTTTCCACCGGAAAAGGACTTGTTTGTTTGTTTGTTTTTCTTTTATCTAATGGC